CCTTAGTCAATGGTGCCTTTTGAGCGATTAGATCTTCAATAAAAGGGCAGGCCTTTTCATTGTCGACACAATTCAGAAAATCTTCCTCGCATTGTATAGTGTCATGAAATTCAAACGAATCTGTTGTCTGAAAGTAACATATTTTACTAGAAAAAAGTACTACAAAATAAATCACAGAAAACACTTTCCTGTTTTATAATATTTATAGACTAGCGGCCGCCCACGACTTCGTCAGTATATTCCTGCGAATATTGTCCAGTAAAAGTCTTTTCAAAATCAGTCCAGCTATTTTAAAAGATTAACTATAGATAAAAAAACCTACCATCGTATACTGTAGAGAAGGTTGATATTTTTTATACGAGCATGTTTTTTTTAAAGTAGTTTACTAACGATATGAAAGAACGTGGCTCAGAATATTGCGATTATCTGTAGTAATTGCCAGACACCATATTATGCAAGCTGACACATTGTCGTACTGCGGAAGTTCACGACGGAAGTATGTGACAAATAAAATATTTACAATGAGAAGTTCTGTTATAAATAATTTTATCTATGATACGATTATAGCACAACACAAGCATTAAATAATTCAAAAAGTTTCATTGTATACAGTATGTTTCAAAACTACAAACTACAAAACTTTTTTACTAATTTACTTTCCTGCATTTAAAGTACATGTATGGAATGACTAAAAGATATGAAGGGGGTAGATTCGGATATGACAGCTGATAGAAATGTATGGAGGAGTAGTACATACTGTGCCAACCCTCGATAGAGATAAGGGCAGGTTGATGATGACTTTACTGCATTTGTAGTTTATTTAAGTAAAAATTGGAAACTAAAAACACATCTGTCTGTAGTCTAAATAATTACTGTTAAAATAAAAATAAAACTATGCATAGCTAATATATTTGAAAACCATACTAAATATATAATTTTATCAAGTTTAAGACATTTCAAAAATCGCAATATCATGGAAATTAACTAACCTCTTTAAGGTATTCTGCAATAGCGGTGTGTGTTGCCAGAGATTGTTTGTTTGCTAACATCTGCGGCAGGCGCGCTACAAACTGCTTGATTTCTTGTACTGATCGTTCTTGATGCCGCTCCTCCAGTTGTGTCTTTATCACGTGCGCCTTCTTAGAAAGAGCCGCGCCCACCTACCGTAAAACTTATCGTTGGTTTCTGAGACCAAAATATCTATAGAAAACATATCGTCCACCCTTTTTATTGACATATATATTATATGACGGAACAGTGATGGTATGTTTTATATGGGGTTGGTCTTAGAAACCCACGATTCATCATCAGCTCACATATATATCCCCACTGAGGGGCTCTGAGCCTACCCTAAGACAAGGGTGACCAAAACCCTACGATTAATTATTTTTAATCTGTCAAAAACTCTTATTTACGTCATGAAACGTAAGACATTTTATTTGTAGGTATATAAGTTATTTTTTTAATGATTTTTTTTTAAATTTTATTGAGAAAATGGTAATTTAAAATCATAATATTATATTAAGTAGAAAGTGTCATAACTCACCACAGTGAAGCTACAATCGCGCAGTTCAGCAAACAATTCCTCACTAGAATTGAGTACGACTCGCTTCTTCTCTCTGGCGGTCACTTCGGGCGTCGCGTCGTCAGCACTAACGAATCTTTCACCGGGAAACGTAGCCGTTGAACTTTTTATACCGAATACCTCATCTATTTATAAACACATTAATACAAAAGTAAGAAACAACAGCAAACACAATGCTAAAATCAAAATGGACGGCAAAAAAAAATTTAAAAATAATGATTTTTTAAATTTTACACTAATGGCTAAATTGTGGGCTATGAATATTTACCTAGGACCACTTTATATGCTGTATAGCTTTAGAAATTAATAATAAAACTTACATTTCTCTACCAAAGTACCTTACTAGCTGTCATTCGCAACTCTACTGGAGATACCTTCTAACAAACATCTACCCATCCATCCAAACATTGTAAGTTATAAAATTAGTAATTTTAATGTGTATTATTTACCTATAAGGCCTTCGTAAGTGAGCTGTGTGGCCATAACACTGGTGAAGTCAATTGCACGATCTATTAGTAACAGCTGGTCAATGCAAGAGGTTGTCGAGCCCTTTGGGGGAGAACCTTGGTCCTCTTTGTTTAAACGGCAAAGAAGATCCCATACCTAAGGAAACACATTATAATTTCTTATGTGTTTTTCTTATAAATAACAAATGATCACTTAGCAAAATCACCGCTATCTATAAACATTGGCTAAAACATGAGTTGAAAGTTTAATTCTCTACCTATATGTACCCTACCCTGCCAAGTCATTTCTTCCCAACCTTTATTTATAAGCCTGAGAAGGGTATAAGAACTTGGTTTCTTGAACATGATAAGTGATTACAAACCTGTTTGGCAGCAGGACCTTTGCCGAAAACTCTAGGAATTATACCATATAAGTGTTGAATGGTGCGTAATGCTTGTGCTGCATTGTACAGGCAAGTTGGATCACCTTCTAAGTAATATTCTCTAAAAGTAAAAAGAAAACATGCCCTTTTTTAGACAAAACTCCCCTCATAATAGCTATCTGTCATATCATGAAATGGTATCACAGTTTTACATTTTCTACTAGGTCCTTTTAATTCTGGTTAAATTATATATTTGATGTACAATTTACTGCCTTTTTAAGTACATAAAATTATTATCAAATACACAAACAGTTGAAAGTGGATAAGTAAGAAATCTCTATAAGCAAAAATTATTTGGTCCTAACAGACAACCTCCATAAGCAAGAAACTCAAGTAAGAGAGAAACCTGTATTCAATTTAGTTATGTGTCAAAATAAATAGTTACCTAAAATCATTCTGTAGTTCTAGAGACATGACATCACTGTCAAATGGAAAGATATCACATTTAAACTCTTGAATTGATAAATAAGAGAACACAGCTCTGTCCTTCAATGTTTTCTCGCACAATTCACTCTTTCTTGGCACAAAGAATAAGTGGAATTCAACTGGAGAATTTTGTTTTGTTCTGTAAATAAATATCTATATTACAATCCATACTATAAATTAATTATTTATAATCAATATTTAAGTCAAAAGCTGGTAAGGAAAGAGAAGGTAAAATCTAAAAAAATTAAATTATATTTTTGTGAATGATTCTTTTACTAAAGTAAAAATTTAGACATCTTATTGTTTCCTAGTTTATTCTTCAGTAAAATAAACATGCTGCAAATCCATATATTTGTTTGTTTTAAACATCAAAGTAAGTTTAGTTACCTTAGAGATTGAATGTAATCAGCTACCAAGTCCATTAAGGCAAGTTTAGGACGAGCTATAAATACAATATGTTTCACTGAAATGGTCGGTAGACTGCCTGGTCTCAATGGAAACATGTCAACAACTTCATGATCCTTTAGTAATAAGTACTGTGCAATCAAACCAACTGGACCTGCCAGCCATTCGTCCCATATTGTAACCTGGAACATTATGCAATTTAAATCAAAAATAGTAGAAGTAGGTCTAGGAAGAGATTGATGGCATGAAATGTGATATGATTAAGAGAAAAACAACTGAAACTACCAATGTTCAATCTGGAAAACGAAAATCTTGTACGCCAATTCGAGATAGGAATATGATAAATATTCCTTATTCTTTAGTTTTTAATACTGAAGAAAGTATATACAAGTAGCATTTATTATGCATGAGTAAGCTTTGTGTGTGTATCTTACTTTGGGTCCTTCGCAGAGTTGTAATAAATTTAATAACTCTTTTCGCATTGTTTCTTGTAATAATGCGACATTTAATCTGCCGCCAGACAGATGAGTATTCATTTTTGTTTCCTTCATTATGGTTATTAATTGCAACGAAACTAAAGTTTGTCTTCCTTTTAAATTTTTATTTTATGTGACTAGTTAAATACACAACAAAAATTCATTAAGACAGTGACAAATGGCAATTGACAAATCGGTCCAAGTGTCACTCTGACATTTTAGTGATCAATGTTACAAACTTCTTCAAATATTAATTGTGTAAATTCGACACCGCTATATAATGTCTTTATATTTATATTAAATAGTTTTTAGAGAAAACACTGTTTAATAATTAATTAGTAAGCTAAAAAAATTATTTAATGAAAGGGATGTCAATGTTGTTGTAATGTGGACAGTGGAGACTCGCCATTAGAATGATATGTTATCAAACACAGATCCTATAAAATCCTGTAAAAAGTATTCTTGTTTCTTCTATGTTCTTTTGTTTCCTTTTCTGATTCTGATACACCTCATTAGATGTCTCAGAATCGCACCAAATGGAAATCTTTGAATGTGCCAAGTATTACTATGCTACATTCATGTAAACATGCTTTTATAAGATTTAAAAGAATGTAATATCAAAATATTAGGCAGCTTAACACTTTAGATTAATCTTATTCACTTCTATTGGAGTCAGGCCATGTTATCACTAAATGAATTTTGAATGTCAAATAATTATATCCGTTCAAGACCGTTTCATAATTAATAATGACAGGCAGATATACTCCACAAGATAATTACCGATTAATTAGTTAAATGTCCATCAAAACTTTATAAGTAAACTTTTACTTTGCGCTTACACGTGGCTAATTTTCCGCCCCACCCTTACGCGTCACGGAAAACTTCTAATGAGGTGTTTTAAATTATAATGCCTTAGGAATATTTTAGTTTATCAAATATCATACTAATCTACTCTTGTAAGGGATAGCAACGCACCTACAAACTTCTACAGTGGTATGGAAATATAAGTTCAAGGTCAGCGTTGATCATTTAAGTAATATTGGATTGTTTGCTTTTTATCCAACATAAACTGTGTAATGTATTTCGTAAGCTTTACTATGCATAAGCTGGTTATATCTAAAAACGTTTATTACAATTTGGGTGTGCTATTGTACACAGGATAGTTATATTGCGGATCGGCAGGCGCCTTATCACTGTCGAAGTTGTAGCGGACGGCACTCTGCGCGCGACGCCACATCGATTTTTCCCCACAAACAAGCCATTTTCAACCATCAGTGACATTGTAAACACGTTTCACACAACTAGTTGCGCCCCCGGACGACACGAGACGATGTTATCGGTGCATTGCTAATGTTTTTTTAATCAATGATGCGACAATTTTCGCCGCCAAAAGAATAATGGCTGCAGAAAATAAAGGTACGTATCCAAATAGATGTTAAGTTTATTTATTTTAGTATTTTTTAATTTTTTTCGTGTCCAAAATTTAACTTTTAAGTGTATGTTGTATTTATGTTAATAGACTGATAAAAAGCGATGTACGGTTTTGTAGGGCATTTAATTGTTCAAGTACTGTTTTAACGCGTTGATAACAGTAAGTGTGGGCGAATGGCCATGTGATGATGTTTGGAAATATTTTTACGGCCTTGAAACGCTTGTATTAATTTGTGAAATAATATTTGTTTATTATCTTCAATTATACAACAATAATAAAATGATTGACTTGTTCTAAAAGATAAAAAAAATATCTGAAGCTTTCCCGATTGTAGATTAAAAAAAGCTATAACAAAAAATATTATAAATTTACACATGTCATAATAATCAAGAAATCTTTAAAAAATGCATAAAAATATTATTATTTTCCGTTATATTTTCATATAATATAGATTAGTCGACGAAACGCAGCGTTTATTTTTATTTGCCCGTGAAGTTAATCCTATAAAGCAGATAAAATTCTCGGAACTGATTCGTATTCAATCCTTGTTCTACATTTATTACATCCGATGTCCTTATTATATTATAATAATGTTGCAAAAAAAAATTGAGACATTTAGAATACAAGAAAATTGAGAGATTAAAATGACATTTTATTCGATAAATACAAGTTGGTATCTTTCCTAACTTTTTCGATTTAAGTCACTTTTTCGAGGGAATCTAAAAAAACCGTGGATTTCCATTGCCAAATTATTCATTTAAAATCATTCTGAGAAGATAATTTTCTTATTTTTATTGCTCTAATTACGCTGCAAAAACAATTATAAAAGGAACCAACTCTTACAAACTTACCTCTAATGATTCATTGGAAGATTTATATCTGAATGTAATTTAAACTATATAGATATAGAAAATATCTAAATTGGAGTTTTTTTCGGTCATAAAAGATCGGCATCCTTATCATAAAAATTATTACGAGTTACGATACAATAAAATTGTGTCCTCGAAATATAAAAATTTGAGAAACGAAAAGAATATCGAAAGGTGCCAATTAGAGATACAGAAATATTTGCGAGGATATTCCATGAAAATAGGTTATGAAAAGAAGATTTTGTATAGATGAGCATAAAATACTTTTATGACAGCGAAGGAGCCTCAATTTGGGACGCTATGAAATTTCCTTATTATGTATTCAAGGAGATTATTAGCAATTCAGAGCTGCTTGAATTTGTTACGAAGTGTTATTAAATTTTACACATTTAGAGATGTTTATGTTGTGTTACATGAGTATTGACACGTCTTTCTTTATACAAATTTTAGAAATATAACATGCTTAGTTAATGGTTGTAATATTCGCGACTTTGTACTCATTAAATGTAACTTAACTTTGAAACATCTGCATCTGGACCGTTCAGCCGTTCCGGAGATACTTTCAAACAAAAATCCATTCATCTAAACATTCGCATTTATATTAGTAAAAAGTAAGATTCAGTCTCCACGCGGACGACAAAGTATAATAGTTTTCTTGTACTTTTTTTAAACTTTTTCAACTTGCCTCTTCAAAAGCTATAAGCGTTATGGAAAAAGAAAAAACAAAGGAACATTAAAAGTTGGCATTTTACATTAGCGTCGTTTCTCGCGTCTTCTAACAGCACTTTGCGGCTTTCTTCAGGAGTACGCGACGTGAATTACTTTCTTGTGCCGTAATGGAAAACTTTTCTAAAACGCCCCTGATTGACAGGAATAAACTGCTCGCTGTTAAAGCCTGATTGTTACTTGATCTGACCGTGAATTTTCAAAGCCAAAGCGTACTATTGTCTCTATTTTTTCAATTAGTATGAAAGGGACAATTTGTTTTTGGCATATGTTTCGGTTGTGGAAACTTCTTTAAAAATGTTACTAATATTATAAATTCAATATTTAGATTGATGGATGTTTGTTAGAAGGTATCTCCAGAAGTGCTGAACGGATCTTGATGAAATAACCACAGATGTAGAAAATAATCTGGAATAAATTCTTTATTCCGCAGCGACGAAGTCGAGGGCTACAATTAGTAATTAATAATTTATCTTCGTTATTTTTATATTATCTACATACGTATTTCCTCAAGAAAATATAAAAAAATGAATTTGCTGTCAAGACAGAACTGTCAAAGATATTAAAGTTAATAATATCGTATTTTTTTGTAAAAATGTTATGTATTTTTTGATAATCATGTGAATTGTAGATATTACTAAAATCTTTCAATCAAACATCGAAGTGTAACAGAAAAAATAAGAAAAAACGAAAGAGAAACGTTTATTTCTTTTGGAAATCACAACCCTACCTTTCCCAAGAAATTAGAATGTGTTTTGGTGAAAGTGAAATTCGATTTTACATCTTAATTCAAAAAACATTGAAGATTTATTCAAAATAATTGGATTATGTAAGTCAAGGCAGTGATTATGTAAAATTATGTTTTCAAGTATGTGACAAAAAACGTACATAAATATATACATTTTTGGGTAATTGATAATCGTCCAATTATAAGTAGAAATAGAAAGTACAATTCTCCTTTCAATGAGGGTACTTTTGAAACTGGCACTTACCGATTTATATGAGAGCACATATATTTTAAGTATAAAAGTCGATGTACATAAAAAACTTTTAACAAAAGACATACCTATCATTCAGTTAAAAAGGGTCATTTTTTATTTGGCAAACTCAAGGGTTACATAAAAAGTCCACTGTTTATAATATATACTAGAGTTGAAAATACTCGTATCATCTTTATAAACGAAGATTATGACATGTTCTCGAAATATAACACCCTGTTTTGTTGACATATTCGTGTTGGGGGTAACTAATCTGTAACCTGTCATAAGAATGAGGCTAACGGTGTTAGAACTTAATAGGCCCTTTATGAGTGAAGACAAAACTTACGCGATTGTAATGTTTGATATGTATTTTAGTTAAATATTTATTATACTCTATCTAAATTGGTTTTAATTTTAGTTGGGATTGGATTTTCGATTTATTTTCATCATTTATTTTATTTTTACAAATAAATATATTGTTGTAGTTGAAAGTGAAGCGGACGAGATGCCAGCCGCCGCGGCCGCGGACCCCAGCGCGGAGCAGAAGGAGCGTCTTATCGCCGCCGTCAAAAAGGAAGTCAAACAGTTAATGGAAGAGGTAAGATCCAATTTTCATTTAGCAGACGCTATATATTTCCACTGGCGAAGCGCGTTGCAAACGTGCGTCTAGATAACGCGTGGAAGTAGTACTTACGAATCTTATGTATCATGTGTAGATACGTCACAGTAGCGTTATTCAATTGTTTCTTCACGCATGGCCTAATGCTAAGATGTCGTAAATGGAAGTTGACATCCTAAGCGAAAAAGTCCATCGCAAGAGTACTTTAGAATAGTAATATCTACGACATATGTAAGAAACACAGTTCAGAATTCTTTTGGCATAAGTATTAAAATACTTTTACATTTATTAGGCTGTGACACGAAAGTTCGTGCACGAAGAGAGCGGCGGTGTGACGGCGCTGTGCGGCGCGGTGGAGGCCTGCCTCGGACAGGGGCTTCGTAGACGCGCCCTCGGGCTATTCAAGACCAGCTCAACTACCGCACTACTTCATAAGATTGCTAAGGTAAGTGCCTATTTTCTCTTAGAGCGTAGCAGCCACTTTAAGGTGGGTGTGCGAGTGGAAAATAGCCATTTCGCACAAGGTCGCGCTTCGGGGCGCATCTAGACTCTTGCGACTACCCGCTAAGGGAAACTTGGATTAAATCCTCATTAGCTTAGCAACATAGTTACTTCGGAAGGGATTTATCAAGTCACGTCACTAGTCCTTGACTAATATTCATAAGCTTATATGAACTAAGGCTCTGGAATAAATTAAGATTATCGGTATTTTGGGCACGCCATTAATAACTAAATTGATTATGCACTTCGAAAACGGCGTGAAGTCAGAATAATTTCATGGCACGTATAAACCTAATTAAACGATTCAATGGAAATATGGCACGATTGTTCGTAAACGTTCACAATCTCTGCTCTAATAAACAATTTAGTAATTAAGAACTGCCTATGATCAAGTTTTATTAAATTAAAATCGGTTCGAAATGCAATAAATACTTAAGTAAATAATGAAAATTCTCTAAAGCGATTAGTCCAATACTTATTCAAGAGATAGCGGAGAGCTCTTGAAAAACTCGAGCGATCTTAAAGAATCCTCTCTTTTCAAACGTCTCGAATAAAGAAATTTAAATCAGTAAAAAAAAAATTCTTCCATTACGCCCCGCCGCGAGGAATTCGTCGAACATCGGGAGGGTTCCTTGAGTGAATCCAAATCTATCGTATCTGACACTTTCCAGGGCCACATCTCACTTATTGATTCGTACACTGTTACTATTGAATAGATAATTTACTTTACGTCTGAGTGAAATTCCAATGTTTGTTTTTGTATGTAAATGTCTCGTGGAATTTATTTAAGGAAATGCCGTAGAGTTTTACTTAAGGTACGATCAAATAAAAATGATCTGTCCTGAGAATGTTATTGCGGTGAAGTGATCTCAACAGTGATTGTCAAAAACGCCTGTCGTTTTTTATTAGTTATCTTTCATTAGAAATATTTGCCCAATTATGTATACAGATTTTCATCTAATTCGGATTTTTAGTTAATAAGGCTATAAGTGTAGCAAACTTGTAGTAAATAATAGTTTATATTTTAAATAAAATATTGGAGTAAGGTAAGACCTAAATGTAGTAAAGTAGATTATAAAGTTGGTCCGCTAACGAGTTCAGATTGTAGTTACGTAACACAAGACTCCAGAGAGTTTATCTAGTGCCCAAAGCCTTGCTACGTAGCTGAAGTGCATAATTAAATTAATTGAACATATTACGGTATCATTTTGCTTAAAGTTTATTTATATATGTTGGTGGCGTTGATAATGATCTTAATTTTGACATAGTTCTTTTTGGATTTAGGTAATCCAAAAGTTTTAAAGTTAGAGGTAATTTTCATACCAAATTTCTTGATTTGATGGCATGTTACATAAACTTTTTTTGTTTTTTTTGGCTCTCATAAGTATGTTTCTAATAAAAAGTTACACGAAACTAGCTAGAAAATTGACATTCTGCCATTAAGAAGTCTACGTGAGCATTATATGTTGTTTTCTATTGTAAACCTAGACGTTGATGTGTCTATACAATAAAGGACTGGGACGCTATTGTTGAAAATGCTTTTAACCAATCAACTCGATAATGACATTAAAGTAATTTTTCGCAATTTTTCTCTACTAGATGATTGCTATTTTCTGTTTACAGGCGCAAAAAATAAGTCACGTATACTTATAATTTGCGAAAGACAAAATTAGGCATTTATATTTGATTATAACAATAACGAAGGGACTAAGTCGTGATAACCAAGTATAACTAATATTGTTTGTTTATAAGTCAACATTCAGTCAGTATTTGCGGCTGTAGTCGCCGTAACTGATTATATAGTTGCAATCGATGTTACATTTAGCCGTTTCTGTCTATAGGTTAGGATTTAGTGTTAATAGAGATACAGATTTGTTCAAATAATTCTCAGCAAAAGTAATGCCAAAGTTCGTCTGATTACATTAGATTACGACTGTTCTGTCGATGAAGTAATATTCGATTCTCGTGAAATTTGATTTAAAACTTTATTTGGTATTGACATTGGTTATTGGAAATTTAATATCGTCAGATTTGGCAAGCGCCGGTACTTTGGAAGTTTCATTTAAATTACTCCACTTCTACAAAATTTGGTCGACAAGCAAAAGTTTTATCGACATAACTCTAAGACTGTGACAGGCATTACGTTGGTAAACTTTTCGATCAGATCTTTGCAATAGGCTTTATACTTCGTAAGTTTTATTTAGAGTCTTGCTTCGTAACATTAATTTGCAGAGTAAAATTTATACTTTTATTTTAAGAGTCGATTTACAAAGCGTAGTGGAATTTTTGTTTCACTTTAATCTGGTCTAAGAGAAGAAATATTAAAATTAATATCGCTTCAATCAGAAACGTCCTCACTCTCTTATTTACATATCATAATTAGAGTAAGTTTATGTACAAAAATTAAACAATATAATCGTCATTATATCCAGAAAATTATATCTTTTTACTTTTCATGCTTTTATTGTGCATAGTGGCCATAGTTTATTTTAAAAGAGTCTTCTTTAATGTTTTTAATTAAAAGAAGCACGTGCCTTCGAGCTCTTGTACAAAAGCTTTTATGTGAAGTGTCCGGATACAGGCTGTGTATGTGTTTTGTTATTGAGGCGATTGCATTTTCTTTTTATTGAGTTGTAAGATAATATTTACTTCTTGCCCAATTCGATAAAATTCGCTAACGCACAATGCAAGACGAATGCAAATTTATTTCATAGCAACGTACACACTTTTGAAACTATAACTCTTATGGTGATATTTTGCTATTTTTGTGTGGTAAAGGAATTTAATTCTTTGACTATTTAATCTCAAATAAATGTAATTTTAATATAAAGTAAGATTTTATTAAGATACAACAAAGGGCTTAAACGAACTCCAGATTAAATTTCCTCTGAGAGAGGATTCAATGAATGAAATCGCTGTTCGTGATCTCAACAAATTTGCCGCACGGATCCCATTTCGATTTAGACTCTGGAAATGAACGTTTATTTGATTATTGGGAAAGGTTTTCTTAAAGAAACAATATCGATTAGTAGAATATTATCAAAGACACTGTTCTTGAGATGGGATTAAATTTACACACTACAAGTTTATTATTCGTGGATTGTTCAAACTTACGAATTAGCAATTAGTTGGCCGTATTATTTTAAAGCTTTTATAATATCAAAACGATTTTTTGCTATTTTCTTTCAACAGGCTCTCTGATTTTCTTACTCTGCGCCAACTGCGCTCTTTAGTTCAGAATAATTTAAAGTATTACTAGTATAGCTTGTAGTAACAATGTAAGTGAACAGTTTTTGTAACAAAGTTAATGCATTAACCGCCCGCTGCGTTTTCTTGGCTGGCACACTTTCTCAACTATAATGTAATTCGAACAGCTAAAACTAAGCTCATGTTTATAATGTAAATTCTCTATTTGTACACAAATACATATAAGGATATCATAGATATACTTGCTGTGGCCCACATCTCCGTCCGCGTGAATTAAAAAAAAATAGTAACCTATGAGTTCTTCCAGACTATGTTCGTAGATCCTAGACCTTGCAACAAACATCAATCCATCCATTTTAACATTCGCATTTGTATTAGTCTGAAATGGACCGTTTTTAAGTCTCAAATAATAAATAATTAAAATAAAGCAATTTTCATTTTCAAAGTAATCACGTTTTAAAATGAAAATTGCTTAAAGCAATATGTATTAAAGTAAAAATCGTAAAATAAGATTTAAAACCGAATAAAAAGACATAATAGTTTTTTTATTTCATATAAAGTGTAATTGTATTATTTTCATTGGAAAATCAGTCGTGTTTTTCTCGTTACTCACTAGACAGAATAAAAAAGGGGTTGGTAAGCGAGATAAAATAAAACGGGGCATTAGGTTCTAATGGGGACAAAGCACCATTAACCCCTAAAAGGCTTTATGTTTGTCTCTGCACCTGTGTGTATTGGATAGCTTTGGTAAATTAGAGTGGATGTTACCGACCTCGGAATAGAATAGGTAAATATTCTGTTATTTTTTTTTACTGTTACTGCCGCGTAATATTTTCGCAGTTTTATGTCTTAGCACAGATAATATATTAAATCTTGGCTACATTTTACTATATTAGAGAGGAGTTAGTGTTTTAATTTGGTATGAACAAGGTAAATTAGAATATAAAATATTTCGTAAACTCCTTTGAGGTTATAATTTTCTTCTGATTTACTATTTAATTTAGCTTGATGCAGAAACTTACGGATCAACGAAGGTTAGAAAATTTAACTTCTTGTACGATAGAATGCAAAAAATATTAGTTATTTTGTTAAAACTGTTTAAAGTTAAAAAGGGACTTGATAGACAGACGGACGGACAACAAAATGATCCTATAAGGGTTCCGTTTTTTTCCTTTCGAGGTACGGAACACTAAAAGTTTTTTTTTTGTTACATTAGGTATTTAACATTTTCATAGATTTAATTATTTCTAGTTTAGAATCTTAACATTCTTGATAAGACACGACATGTTCAATCATAGACAGTTTATCGTACTATCTATTCACACGTTCAAGGGCGTTTTGAGGTGCAAGGAATTTATTCCCATATAAACCATGTAGTTTCTCGTATAAATTACATACCTGAGTGAACAATCATGCAGATTGATACCAACCTGTTGTTTCTTAGTGTAATATTTAAATGGATTGCTTGCACTCAGAAAATATTTTGATGATATTTTGTACGATGGATTTTATATTGTTCCTTCTAGTCATTTAATAAACTATGTTCTATTTGGAAATAAAATTGATTTAAATTCTTACACATACACATTTCTGCTATCTTAGATTTACAGATGCATTTTCTAGTTTTGTAGGAACGAAACAAACAAGATAAGGCTAAAGTAGGGAGGATTATTGTTAAATGTAACGCAAATAGTTGGTCTAGTTTATAGATTTGATTGATTGGAAATCCAATACATC